AAAGGGATCCAATATGGAAAGGAAGAAATTAAATGATTACTACTTGAAGATTTGCTCGAGTGGGCCCAGTAACGTCTCCATTGGAGACTTTGTTGTTACTGTGATGGCAAAACACAAAAAATAAATAAATTTTAAAAAGATGGCAATGCACATAAAAAGAACAGTAAATTAATTCCAAGGAAAGTTGAAGAAGGAAATAATAAACATTAGTGTGAAAACCAATGATACAGAAACATAGACTAAGGCTAGCAGATCAGTGGAACAGAATTGAGAGTCGTGAAATAGATCCTCAGATTTATGGGCAGTTATGATGAATACTGTATGTATATGAAAGAGTTCAAGGAATGACATCTGTATTGAGAATACTGGATAGCCACATGTAAACATTAACTAGAACTATATTTCACACCACACACAAAGGTTAATTCGAAATGTATTAAAGATCCATAGACTAGACCAGAATTCATAAAATAGATTGAAGAAAGCATTGACTCTCCAGTTAAGCAGACCTCAAAGCTGTCTTCAATCATCTGACCACAGTGAAAAAGAAACTGAGAAAAAAAGCAAATAATACTAAATCAAATTTTTAAAAAGTAATTGCATGGCAAAAGAAGACAAACTAAAATTTAAAAGACAACACACTGAATGGAAGAAAATATTTGCACACAATATATCAGATAAAGGCCTAATATGCAAGATTTATAATGCACTCACAAAGTTCAACAAAAGAAATTAAAAATCCAATAGAAAATTATAAGTGCTGGTGGAATTAGAATCATCCTCTGATTAATTCACTATGTAAAGCAATATAGAGATTTCTCATTTAGAAAATAAGAATAGAATCCATATATAAAAAGGTAAAGGCCCTCCCGTTGATCGTCGATTTGCTCGAGCGGGCCCAGTAACGTCTCCATTGGAGACTTTGTTGTTATTGTGTCTGGCATATCGAATACTCTTGGTAGCTTGCCGGGCTCTCCGAGAGGGGTGGAGGAATCGAACTCGGGTCGGCCATGTTGGCCGCGTGTAAGGCGAACGCCCTACCCGCTGTGCTATCGCTCCAGCCCATTATATGGATTAACAATATATTAATCCATATATTGTTATTCTTTTTTGACATCTATCCACAAAACACAAAACAATTACTTCGAAATTATAAGTGCACACCTAAGTTCATTGTAGAGGGCCAAATGTCCACTTATGGATGAATAAATCAAGAAGTTGTAGTACTATGACAATGCTAGTCAGAAATTATCATCTGGACAAAACTGAGTGGTGAAAGCTGGTAAAATAATATGCGTGATGTGCTTGATACCCTTTTAGTAACAGTTTTGCAAACTAGAGTTCCGAAAATGAGAGGGAGAGAGAGAGGGGGAGAGGAGAGAGAGAGAGAGAGAGAGAGAGAGAGAGAGAGAGAGAGAGAGAGAGAGAGAGAGAGCATGTGAGCTCAGAGGCAAGCTGTGGGGGTGGGGTGGGGAAGGGAAATCAGGAACAGTGGTGGCAGGAAATGTGCACTGGTGAACGGAACGGTGTTGGAACATTGGATGACTGAAATTCAGTAATAAAAAACTTTGTAACTGTACATCTCACAGTGATTCAATAGCAAAAAATAAAAGAAGTTGTGGTATACCTACACAATAGAAAAGTATGCAGTTATAAAAGATGGAATTTTGGAATTTCCTGCAAAGTCAATGGAACTGGAGGGCATCAGTTCAAGTGAAGTGAATTACAAGGAAAGGGACAAATAAGAATTATCTCATACATGGGATAAAGAGATCGAGATCATACAAGTTGTGAGATACAAATGGTCAAAGGACAACCAAAATGGAAAATTAGTCCACAGAACTGAGTTTACTTAGGTGAAGGAAGAGGGATAGATGTGAGGGGTTCTTGGGGCTTCTATAGAGTCACTTTGGTCCTGACTATGGCATTGAAATAATACTTACATGAAACTAACATTAACTATTGTAAATCATGACATATTTGATATGCCAAAAAACAGTAAAAGCAAGTCTCACAAATGGAGATGTTACTGGTGCCTGCTTGAGCAAATTGATGAACAGCGAACGGGAGGACAGTGTTACAGTGCTAATCTTCATTTTATCGCTAAAAATATGAAGTATCTACATACTTATTTGTTTTGGCTAATGAGAGACAGAAAACAAACTAGGAACTCATGGAGAAAAAACTAAAGGAGTGTTTAATACAAACAATTAAATCTTCTCTTAAATCTGAACAATAATATTAATTTAAATGTTTATATTATTCCTAAAATACTTTAGTTCAGAACATTAAAATATCTGAGAACAAGGTAGAAATAATCTATAAAATTACTTGAAAACAATAAATTAATAATACAATAATTAAATTGATTGAAGGTAGCACAGTCCTCCCATTGTTCACCAATTTCCTCAAGCGGGCCCAGTAACATCTCCATTGTGAGATTTGTTGTTACTGTATTTGCCAGGCTTTACTTGCAGGTGAGATACTCTCAGTAGCTTGTCAGGCTCTCCGAGAGGGGCGAAGGAATCGAACTCGGGTGGGCCTGGTTGGCAGCGTGCAAGGCAAACACCCTACACACTGTGATATCGCTCCAGCGCATTACATCCCTAGCCCTAATTTTTTGTTGTTTGTTTTAGGTCACACCCGGCACTGTTCAGGGGACCATATGAGATGCCGCAGTATGCAATATATTATTATAATCTCCAGAGAATAGTTTTGTAAGAAACCTCACAATCTCTTCCAAATATTGCATATGGATTATGTCATTATCAAAATAGATGATGCATATCAACTGGGAAATATATAGTAAAAAGCCCTAGAAGTGTGGGAATAAAGGGAAATCTGATACAAAGCTTTAACCTGTTCAACTGTTCAACTTTAATTTGGGTTTCACACACCAAATTTTTCTTTAGTTTTAATGCCAGCAAGAACATAACTGTTGGTCTTATTCATTTACCTAAGTCAAATGATTAAATTTACATGGTAGCATGGTAATATCCCCTGCCTCCAGTCTAGACAGGTTTGTTTAGACTATAAGGCCCTGAATTCCCTATTATTAAAGCATTTTATTGTAGAAAGGTTCAAATTGAAATTATTTATACACCTTTGAAGAGTTGTGGGCATTCCTTTGGTCTTCATTTATATAAGAAATGGATGATTATAGGGTCCAGTGTCTGTGACAGGTTAGTTAACTTCAAGTAGCTACAATTAGCAATCACAGACAATCTTAAGACATTGACTATCCCACAACTACCCTCTTGCATTAAGAGAATACTGCCAACATCTGACAATATTTTAATTTTTATTTCATGTGGAGAATAACATGTAATATCACTTATAAATATTTTGTCTAGGATATTGAAATATAGACAAAAGAAAAAGTATAATGCTATTTAAATAGATAAGAATTAAAGGCAATTTATTTTTTTATTTCAGAACATGGAGGGAGAGTGCCCACTATTCCCATCAGGCACTCTTGTGGGTCTGTGTTCAGCAGCTGCAGGCTGATGTGCTGACAGAGAAGGGAGCTGGGACTGTGGGCCACAGAGGGAGCTGATCCTGCGGTAACAGAGTTTTCCCACTCAGGCTCAGCAAATCGGTTTGCTTTTGTAGTTCTGTTGCACCGTGGAAGACAGCAATCTTTGTATTTTTATCACAAAAAAATGTTACTAACAAGTCTCTTGAGCTTTAAAAGGTCTAATCTATTATCACCTTTTGGATTTTCTAGAAACAATACTCCACCTTGTTTGCTACCATTCATACAAATGTTCAGATTGACTTAAGCACAAGCAAGCCTGGCAGCTGAATTCCACTACCCAACCACCATCATGCTCCAGGTCACTTTCCACTCGTTTGGGCGAGCCTCACATATGAGTGAACATATTTCTGGACACATCATAAGACACTTCCTATGCATTTTCCATAATTACCACACCATATTTCTCCAAATTCCCAAAGTCAAAAGTTGCGAAATAACCCCAATATCAGAGACAGCAAATGCCAGCCTAGCAGCCATTTGGCATGTAGAGCTGGGACTTATACACAACCCTGGCATCTGACAACTAAAATGGCTGACCCAGTGGTACAGTTGCTTAGGTTAGGGCTGGGGCTATAGCACAGTGGTTAAGTCGTTTGCCTTGCAAAGGTCAACCAGGGTTCGATTCCTCTGTCCTTCTTGGAGATCCCGGCAAGCTACCAAGAGTATCCCGCCCAAACGGCACAGCCTGGCAAGCTCCCCATGGCGTATTCGATATGCCAAAACCAGTAATTATAACAGGTCTCGTTCCCCTGACCCTGAAAGAGCCTTCAATACATTGGGAAAGATGAGTAAGGAGAGGCTGCTAAAATCTCAGGGCTGGGACGAATGAAGATGTTTCAGGCACCTGCTCAAGTAAATCGAAGGACAATAGGATAACAGTGATACAGTGATTTCAGAACATAAAATTGTTCAGGCATTTTGTCTTAATAGAATTGTGTTTAATTTTTCCTTTTCCAACAAACTTGAACTCTTTTGACATGGTCTTTAATAAAATCATTCTTGCTTGTTTAATTCTACCTGGTGCAATTTCAATTTGATTACAAGGAATACTTTACTTCATATCAGGATATTTGACAAAGGGAGGTGTCAAACAGGGAATGATCTACTTGAGATTTAATAGAACAAAGTAATATCCATTACTTTTCAGTATCAGAGATATTAGAAGTAATACAAGAATGTGAATCCTGTATTTTATATATTTTTAAAAAATGTTTGAACAAAAATAATAATAGAGTAGGAAACTTAGAGTTTTGAGATGTTACAGTACATCCCTTATGTCCTGAGGAAATTGTTTAAACCTAAAGCATTTCATTCTTTGTGATGAAATATAAGAAAATATACAAATACATGCATGACATTATAATACAAAGGGGATATTGTCAAGATTGCAGTCACAACCCAACAGTAAATACTATCAAATTATTGATATAAATTGCATAGTATAATTTCATATAAAACATACCTTCTTTCTTCTCATCTTTCTTAGATGCTGCTGAAATAAGGGAAAGAATATAACGTTAAAACATATTAAGTATTTCTCAGAATACAGAATACTGCTCCAAATATGAGGATGATTAATGTTTTCATAGATTTAGAAGTTACCTATGAACTAATTAAATTTACTAATTCAATGACATCTCTGTGGAATAACATGCAAAATCACGTGTAAATATTTTATATTAAAATAGACAAAATAAAAATATATTTATATTTAAATAGATAAGAATTAAAATGAATTTTGATATTTCTAGTCAAAACCTTAGGCACTGTGATTTATAATACTGTTAATGATAAGGTTTCATGTATATATATTTCAACAATGTGCCCTCAAGAAGAGTTCTGATACTTAGTTCCCACTGCCCATCCTCCTCAACCAGCAAGGTAATTCCATTTTATAGAATGGTTTTCAGGTTTTGTTACCTTTGTTCATTTGTTATATACTTATTATGTTCTTTATATAATCACAAACAAGATAGTTAAATCTATATCTTTGCCTTTCCTTCTGACTAACTTCACTCAGTATGATGTACTCCAGATCCATTCATGTAGCAGCTAACTGAACAATTTAATCTTTTCTTATAACTGAGTAGTATCCCATTGTATTTATATACCGTAGCTTCTTTATTTAATCATATGCTCTTGGACACTTGTGTTTTCACAGATTTTGGCTATTATGAATAATGTCAAAATGAACATGAGTGAAAATGTCTTCTTTTGAATAGAGTTTTGGGGCTCATGGGTTCGATTCCAAGAAATAGAATTATTGATTCAAATAGATGAATTTTAATTATTTGTGTCCATATTGTTTGTCAAAGAGGTTTAATGTAACCAAGGGTTTACATTCCAACTAGCAGTATATGAGAGTACTTTCCCCCATATCCTCACAACACTGGTTATTTTTGTTCTTTTTGATATGTTTCAGTCTCACTGATGTGATATATATATGCATATATGAAATTGCTCAGTTTTTATATGTTTTTCAAAATTATATATAAAGTTTTAAAATTTTTATTACAGGTGATTTAGATGATTGCATGATTGTTTATATTCAAAATGTTGCTAATGTATTATTGCTTTTACAGTAAAACTCTACAAATTAATTGGTTCTGTTTTTATACATTTATCTCTTAATGGAGTTTTAAGTAATGCCAAAAATATACTGAGTATATAGATATATATGGCATATTTTTCTATTCCAAAATTTTAATTAAAATTATGATAAATACAGAAGCTAAAATTATTAAAGGATGTGGAGATTACCTGAGAGATTTTAAAGACATGAGGCATTAATTTCAGCAAATCTTGCAGATTTAACTCAATAGGCTTATTTATTTTTAGTTCTTTACAAATAAACATTTACTCTAAGAAGCTTCACTGCTTTTAAAATTTTCCAACTTCTTTGCAGAGCCAGCCTGGAGACTCAGAGGAATGCCAGGACCCCAGCTTAAATCCCCAGTTAACAAAGGTCTATCCAGTACCAAACTTAACCCTAACTTCACTCGCAACTACCAGAATGCTGAATTACACAAGACCTCTATTCTTTCACCTTCATAGGAAAATACCAACATCCCTCTGGAAGTCCACAAACCTTGGTGCTCATCACTTCCTCTAAGGGCGGAACCACTAAGATTGCTCTGATGTGAGCTTACTACAAAAGTTTACCCCGAAGGTCAGCAGACACAGGGGGAAGTAACATAGAAGCCCAATGAGGACAAGGAGTAAAAATAAAAGTACAGTAGTCACTACCAATACCTATCAGCTCTATAATTTCTGAAAAAGACTTAAGGAGACCATGATGCAGATGTTTAACAATATCAAAGAAACAATGGTAAAGGTACATGAAAGTATGAAGGCAGAAATGAGAAAATTAGCACTAGAAATGAGAGATCTGAAGAGGTTGGTAAGTGAAAAAAAAATTAATGAAATTCCTTAACAGCAAGTTGCCTCAAGAACCAAAGCAAATGACTCAAGAAAAGCTGAGAAAAAAATGTTGACTGCATAAGATGGAATGCAGGAATATCCTAGAAACTAATAGAATATGAATGAAAGTCTGAAAAGAAATGAACAGCTCAACTTAAAACTATGATATGAGTTCAGTAGGAATGATATAAAAATCTTTGGATTTCCTGAGGTTTAGGAAGGATAAATTGATAAAGAACCTGTAGTCCAATAAATTCTAAGTAATATTTCACCAGAGTTGAGGAATGCATACACCCAGATTCAAGAGGACCACAATGTCTCAAGTAAGAAGAATTCAATTAGATAAAAATCTAAGACATTTGTTAATCTAAATGACAAAACCGAAGGCAGAGATAAAATTTTGAAAACAGTAAGATCCAAAGTGGAACTCACATAAAAATAGAAATCTGCTGTAAGATTTCAAGCAAATTTATCAAAAGTAACTCTATGGATGAGAAAAGAATTCATGAATACAGTGGAAAAAAAAGCTAAATGAAATAAACACCTCACCATGTATATCTAGTTAGATTATTTTTCATATTCGAAGGAATGATAAACTTTCATAGACAAGTAACAAGCTAGGAATGTCACAACCTTAAGACTAGCTTTGCAAGAAGTATTGAAAGTACTTCTGTAAAAAGACAAATCTCCCAATCATAAATGACTTCTACAGAATTATGGAAATAAATTTCTTTATCTTAGTGATATCACTTGATGATGATGGCTTAAATTCAGCAATCAAGAGAGATACAAAATGGCAGAAAAATGAAACTGGGAAAATGGCACTCACCATTTTGCTGCCTACAAGAGATATGCCTAAACTGTAGCACTGTAGCACTGTCCTCCTGTTGTTCATCGAGTTGATCAAGCGGGCACCAGTAACATCTCCATTGTGAGACTTATTGTTACTGTTTTTCACATATCAAATACATCCCAGGCTTTGCCGTGCAGGGAGGATACTCTCGGTAGCTTGCTGGGCTCTCCGAGAGGGACAGAGGAATTGAACTTGGGTCGGCCATGTGCAAGGCAGATGCCCTATCCGCTGTGCTATACCGTCTCAGAGTTAAAGACTGGGAAACCATCCACGTGCAAGGCAAATTCCCTACCCACTGTGCTGGGGTGTGCGATCAGGCAAAACACTAGGCTGCTACCTTTCACCACTATTATTCAGCATAGTATTGTAAGTCAATTTTCCATGGCCATTAGTCAAGAATGAGACCTTAAGAGCATGCAGATTGAATAAAAAGTCAAACCCTTACTATTTGATGGTATGATACAATAGCTAGAAACTTTGAAAGATTTTACAAAAAAGACTTCTAGAAACATTAACTTTATAAAGTGACAGATACAAAATCAATTTGCAGAAACGTGTCACTTTTCCATGTGCAAATAATGAAAGAGTAAAGACAAAAAATTTGAGGAAGAATCTGTACACAATTGTTCCTCACAGAGTCAAGTGCCTAGGAATCAGAAGTAAAAGAAGCGAAAATATACATGCAAAGACAACAATAAAACACTTCTGAAAGAAATGAAAGAGGACATGAGGAATTCGAAAACTATTTCTTCTTTATATATTTAAAAGATTAATATCATAAAATAATAATCTTTCTCAAATTTCTATATATATTAATTTAACTCCCAACACATTACCTATAACTTTAAAAATATAGCTCAAATTCCATATATAGGATGATAAAATGCAAAGAATTGCCAAAACAATTTTAGGAAAGAATAAGATGGGAGGTATTTCTTTCTCTAATTTTAAATTATACTATAAAACTATAGTAATCAGAATATTGTAGTACTGAAATGATAGACTCTAAGACCAGTGGAGTAGAATTTAGAATCCAGAGACTCTCAATACAGTTGTCCAGATATACAAACAGTTAATTGTTGGTAAAGAAGCAAGGAATATGAAATTTAACAATAAATGATGCTGGGACAATAGTCAGTCACATACTAATAACTGAACTCTGATCCCTTTATCATACCATACACCAACATTTAAAAAAAAGTTTAAATATCTTGATATCAGACCTGAATCCATAAATTTCATTGAGAAAAACATATGTAGAACAATTTATGGCATTGAAGTTAGAGGTATCTTCAAAGATTCCATGACATTGGCTAATTTAACAGAAATAAGTGTGAACAAATTGTACTGGATCGTATTAAGATGTTTCTACACTGCAAGAAATGATGGCTAGAATATACTTATATCCCCCAAATTGGAAGAAAATATTTACCCAGAACACATCTAACAAGAGGTAAATATCTAAGATATATAGTGCACTGGTAGAACTTTACAAGAAAAAAAATTCAGCCTCATCAAAAACAGAGAAAGAGATGAACATAACTTCCTTAAGAAGACACAGATGGTCAGAAGATGTATGGGAAAAAAAATCTCTGCATTACGAGTCATCAGAGAACTGAAAATGAAAAGAAAATTGAGATGCCATATTACATCAATGACACTGGCACATATCACAGAGATTTAGCAATCATTGTTTGCATGGAAGTGTGGGAAATGGGAACCTCATTCACTGATGGTGGGAATGCCTATTCATTCAACTTTTTTAGAAACACATCTGGGCATTCTCAAAACAAAACAAAACAAAAATTATGGATTTGGGGAGGAGGCACAGTGCCAGAGTACTATCTGTGTGTGTGTGCCAGAGTACTATGTGTGTGTGTGTGTGTGTGTGTGTGTGTGTGTGTGTGTGTGTGTAAAGCTATGCGTTACAATTCTGGAAATTCAAAATCAAACGAAACAAAATCTTAGAATTTAATTTCCCTATGATACAGCTATTTGTCCTCTTGGAATCTATCCCACAGACCTAAAAAGTCTATTGAGAAAAGGTATTTGTGCTCCTATCTTCATTGCAGTACAATTTACACAGCCAAAATCTGAATCCAAGTGTTCAGAACAGATGAAACGAGGGTACATACAATGGAATGCTACTCATTTGTAAGAAAAGATGAACTCAGGCAATTTGCTGCTATGTGGATGAATCTGGAGAAAATCATGCTGAGTAGCAGAAGAGTCACACAATGATCCTCCTCATATCTGGGATATTAAAAAGAAACTAATAAGGAAACAACAAATACTCAATGACAGCAGAAACTGAGAACTCATCTTTAGTAGGAAGCCTATAACTGCATGGGTTTGGGGGCCAAGGATAGCGTGGGAATGGCAATACACTAGTACAATGGCATTGGGAAGCAGAGTGAAGAGTGTGGTGTTGAATGCTTTATGCATGAAACCCTACCATTAACAGTATTGTAAACCATGGTGCCTAAAATAAAAGTCCAAAATATAAAAACCAAACAAAACAATGCTTGTTGACTCGTCATCTGTTCAGTGTAAACTTGTAACTGACCTGACATCTCTTCTTGAAACTTAATTCTTCCCCCTGGCACTTGTTATGACAACCACAATCATTCTGTTCATCAGGCTCAAAAGCTTGGTATTATTTCTAATTTATGCTTTTTCCCTATTGCTACTCATTTGTTTGTTTTTGTTTGTCCTCTCATTGTTCATCGATTTGCTCAAGCAGGCCCAGTAACGTCTCCATTGTGAGACTTGTTGTTACTGTGTTTGGCATATCACATACCTAACAGGTAACTTGCCAGGCTTTGCTCTGCGGGCAAGATTCTCTCTGTAGCTTGCTGGGCTCTCTGAGAGGGGCGCAGGAATTGAATGCCGGTTGGCCGGGCCGGCCACATGCAAGGCAAATGCCCTACTACTGTGCTATCACTCCAGACCCATAGTTTGAGAATAAAGATCACATAACACAGAATATTTCATCCTGTTGATTTGGAAACAAAGTTCAGAATATCTTTCTCAAATATTTATTTCAGAAGGCAATTAAAATATCTTTACATGGAAATTAGTTTAAGTACGTTTCCAAAACTATAACTCAAAGAATCACTATTTTTCTGGTCTCTAAAAGTGAATTAATTTTGATGTCTCAAAATACAAGTTAGTGTTGAAACTGATTTTATTCGACAGTTAATTAGTAATATCTGGAACATTATTTTTGAAGTTTTGGTGTCAGGATAAAGTAATTTTGTCTTACCTGTCTAATATAACTTAAGTTATATGAGATACAATTGAAAATAGTAAGAAATTTGAGTGTTTGTTATGTAAATTTACATCTCTGCAATCTATCTATATGCCAATCTAGTGCTGTTTTATTTTTGAAAACCAAATGACTAAAACTTAAATAGTAATATTTTGGTTCTTCTGTGCCTCCTCTACTAATCCGGCATGACTCTTGTAATGTTTTCTCAAATAAGAATCAAAAATTGGAGTCCTAATGCAGGAGCATGCTTTTCTGTAGTGACCCAGCAGATGGTGCTCTTCTCCAATAAACAGATTCCCCGTAGTTCTAACTGTTGTCTTATTTTTCCAAAGTGTTTTTTTGCTTACCTGGTGTAGCTTTTATAGTCCCTTGTTTGGTTTCAGCAACTTTCCCAAGATCTAGAAGAAAAAAAAATTACCTCGATAAATATTTTTCAGAGATAAAATCCATTTTAACAAAAGTATTTGACTCTCAATACTTGTGTTTAAAATATATATAAACTGGGGCTGGAGCTATAGCACAGCGGGTAGGGCGTTTGCCTTTCAAGCAGCCGACCGGGGTTCAATTTCCAGCATCCAAAATGGTCCCCCAAGCACCACCAGGAGTGATTTCTGAGTGCAGAGCCAGGAGTAAGCCCTGAGAATTGCCAGGTGTGACTCAAAAACAAACAACAAATAAATAAATAAATATATATAAACCATTATTAAAAGGAGCCCCAAACTTAGGTTTACTGAGAGCATGTCCAGTAACTGAACCAAAAAAAACTCCAATAAGAATTTCTGAATCTTTTTCCTCTGTTGACTGACCATTAAATAATACATTTCTTTATACTTAAATTTAAAATTGCAAGAATTGTTTATAAATATTTCTGTTACAGGAATTCTGTGATGTATGAACCGTTTAGACATAAAAAACTGGCTTATTGAAAGTCAGTGACTGACAGATGGGAGAATATAGGCACAGCGATCATTTTTTATCAGACTTTGACTTCAGATGCCATTCTCTGTATTGATGTTGTGCCCATCACTTTATCACTTTAGGTTTTATATGGGCAATGATTTTTTTTAAAAAAATAGCCAATTTAGTTTAGAATCTTTTTTTGTATTAGGTATTCTGTGTTTGCATCTGTTTTCCCTGGAATTTTCTCTGTAAAGAAGTGAGATACAAAAACGATAAGATAACATAAATATATTATTTTATTAGCATGAAAACCAAGTAGTATGAAAACCAAATAGCATAGGAAATAATTTACTAAACACTTTAGTAAATCTTTACTAAAATAAAGTTTTAAAAATACAATGGTTTATTTCAATTTCTCATTTTATCTTTACCAACTTTTAATAATTAAATTGTCATGTAACATTGTGGGATAATTTGGTCACTGATTTTTTAATACTTAATTCATTCAGCTAATATTTGTGTAGCCATATGGAATATATATGTACTAAACTAGTGTGAATGTAGTTGTGTTAAACAAATATATTCCTTATTATATTAAATTATTATCAATGTTGGATACTTCAGTTCCAGCTAGAATTTTAAAATAAAAGATTGCACCAAAATAACTCAGGAAAGAACTATAAGCAAATACTCCATGGTTTTCCCTTTGCTAAATAAAAGTGGATCTAATTTCATGCTTTTTATATTACTGGTCAGATAGACACTTTTATCATAATCATTATTATGAAAATTTTGTTTCAATTTTACTTTGATATAGAAGAAATGTTATTTGATTTACATGTATTTTCCATCATTCCTGTATTTATTTCTTCATGCAAAATATATTTCTTCAAAGGTAAATTTTCAATTTATCCTATCTATGATCTCTTTTTAGTAATATTTTTCTTTCTGGAGGTCATTTTCACATCAACTCTTACATTAGGCCTAACTTTCTCACACTTAGAATTTACCGTTTCAGTTTTTAGTCAAAATTTATATTTAGATACTAGGCGTATTTAAGGTAACATATCACACTAAGTATTTTTCTAACTTGATACCTTCACAATTTAGCATTTATTTGGTACTAAGTAATAAAAGGATAGTGAAAAGGGTAACTTCTTGAAGAATACATCTAAATGAAGGCCAGATGTACTTTAGACTACTCAGATATTTACTACTTAAGGTTCTCTACACATCAGAGAAATATAGACTAGTCCCCCATTAAAAAGGAAAAACTATTAAAATTACAGTAGACACTTTAGAATTCTGACTCACTTTTTACTCCTCTTTCCCTTACTTCTCTTTAAAGAATCTGTTATTGATTCTGTTTTAGAACTCTGTGTAGGTATCAGGGATACAGCACTACTGTTCAATATCAATATTTGCTACATAATGTAGCCACCAGAGGTCCTTTTAGATCATTCACCTGTGTATCTCCTGTTCATTTAAGATTATTTAGATCATCAGTTACACACAGTTATGAATTATGGTAAACTTTTCTTAGGACTTCATTATCTCTCCCTTTGTTTTTTTCACCAGCTGTTTTTCTCTCAAATTATGTCATTTACATTCTCCAATGGAGATCTCACTGAGCTCCATCTGATTCTTGTCCTGTAACACTTACTAAAAGTACATGAGTGAGCTCAAAGTAAATGGAACCTTCCTGTTGCTCTACTTAAGTTTTCCCAATATCCCCTATTCCTCATAAATAAACCCACTCATTCACACCGAAGTATTAAAGGTACTGCTCTCAGGTAAAAGGTATTCACTATCCTTAAAATGAGGGGGCAAATAAAACAAAGCAAGGAAATTCAAGAAAAGATTTTAATAATTATAAAATGGTAAGGTAAAGGTAAAGGTAAAGGCCCTCCCGTTGATCGTCGATTTGCTTGAGCGGGCCCAGTAACGTCTCCATTGGAGACTTTGTTGTTACTGTGTCTGGCATATCGAATACTCTCGGTAGCTTGCCGGGCTCTCCGAGAGGGGCGGAGGAATCGAACTCGGGTCGGCCATGTTGGTCGCTCGTAAGGTGAATGCCCTACCCGCTGTGCTATCGCTCCATGAATAAGATGGATTTTATAATTAGAGAAAGGAGAGGTCTAAATCAAACTGCCTATGTAACAGAGTAAGGGATATTTCAGCAGGATGAAGTCAGTATTCCAGAATTCCTGAAACATGCTATATTTACAGATACAAATTGTGATGAATCAGCTAAAGGAAACTTTCAGTCTCTGCAAATTTCATGTCTGAACAGCCTGATTTGCAAAATAAAGAATCTGAAACTCAATGTATTGGTTTTTGCATATTGGTTAGTTTATTAGCTCAATATTATGATTTGTCATCTATAAACCTATTTATAATTACAAATAGTTTTATAAACTGCCTTCTCTTAATGCAAAGTGTAAATCAATTGAGTTTTCATACATAAGTTTCACATAACTTTATCAGCAACTGGGCAATGATCCTGTGAGATGTTGGCTAATGCACAAAAGGAATAATGACTTGTAATGAATCATAGTTCCATTAAAATAATTTCCGAACAAGTGTTCTTTAAAAATCAATCACATTTAAGTTATGCTCTTGTTTTTTAAGTAAGTTGTATATATCATTTGTTCTTTTAAAGATAGTAATCCCTAATTTTTTATGTCCCTTTACTTAACCTAACAACAGCAAAATAAATTAGAAAGATATCCCCCAGTTTAAGGCAAGTGTTTATACATCAAAGAGAGGAACTATTTGACAGGGGCAGAATGAGTAGCAGTAGGTGGTAAAGTAGGTAACAGACTCTTAGGACACAATTTTCATTTGTATCATTTCTCAGTGCCTAGCCAACTGTACTCAGCAGTACATATTTCTATTTCACTGCATAATCATATTTTAATTATTTCCTTATGCAAATATACTTTGATGTGACTCTATAAGCTTCCTGAGATAAGTGACTTATTTGTTCAACTTCATAACCCTAACACTTAGCAAAATTCTGGAGAAATTGTCCTCAATATAAACATAAGGAATTTATTGTAAGAATCTAATTGCAAAAGTGGCAAAATACCCCATTGGTCAGTTGGAAAAGTGACATAAACCTTTGGAATCAAATTTGCTTTTTTAGAGACACAAAGCTTTTCGTAATTAAAAAAACAAAAGACACAAAACTAAACTCCCCTTTTCACTTATATAAGAATTATGCATTATGCAGAATGTGTTTAATGTTATATTTCAGAACTTGATTTTCACTAGAATATATTGTGAATGATTGCATTTGGTAATTCTGGAGAATTTCAGTTTCAAATGAATTCCCACTGAATTAGAATACATTTGGAAATATAAGGATTCTGTTTAAGAATAATGTGAACTAAACCTGTCTTAAGGACTTAAAATATTAACCAATCTTGATTAATTAATTTTAAAATAAGAATTAAATATTTTTAAAGATATCTCTTAGCAATTACAGAAGACTAGAAGACATTTCAAAAATTATACTTAAGTGGAAAAACTATAGTAAAGTTTAATGATTGCTCCACAAACCAGTAAAGAAACTAAACGTACCTGATTTGCCAGATAAACTTTAAACCAGCAACACTGAATTATCCTGATCCCTCAAATGTGTATATCCCTTTATTTAAATAAGTAGAAGCTAATTATATATTATTTAGTAATCCAATGAGCTGCTAAATTTAATTCAAAATTGTTTCTGTTCTTTTGAGAGCCTTTATTTTTAGAACTAGATATTCCACAAATAGAAAATAACATTTAAGCTGAAAGTTACTATATTCTAAAAGCTCTTAAACTGAGCTTGTTATACTTATAGCTCTAGGAAAACATATTTCAGGGACATTGCTTCATTTCAGTATGATAATTATCCTATTGAGATGAAATTAATCATGAAGCAGCCTTCGGCCATCCTGTCTGACCAAGGGGACCGAAGTCTGAAAGGAGGGCCTACTTGCTGCCAGATATGCAAATTGCAAAAGTTGCACAATGCAGAAGTATGAATAATTTATCAAAATAATCTGTTATTGCTAGAGGTTAAAAATCTAAATAAGCTAGCAGTATAATTTACAATGGGTAGAATAATTTAGTTAGACTTTTTCATCTCAGAAAAATCTTCGTCTCATCAAGCAATGTATTTTGTGCTAGAATCTAAGTAGGTTTTAACTTAAAAATCAGAGCAATATATATATTGATTTAGAAAAAAATAATCATTCAGTATCTGCTAAAATAGCCCCTTAAGCTCTTTAATCTTCAGAAAAAAATATTAAAACCATTGTAGATAATTCCGATTAAACAAACCCTGTGGTGTTTTAATTAAAAGTCAAACTCTACCTATAGTTTCTACACAAGGAATTAGTCATTTTCTATATTTTTTGGAGGAAATTAAACATCGATAGGAAAAGAATAGCTGAATGGAAAATATCGAAGTATTGAGAGAATAATATATGTTTTTCCTCATGGTTTTATC